ACCTGCTACTTGAAGTTCCGTTTCAAGTTCACTTTGCGGAGCCTCCATCTCATCGGCAACCTGAAGTTCAGTTTCAGGTTCACTTTGAAGAGCCTCCATTTCACCTGCAACTTGAATTTCAGTTTCACGTTCACTTTGCGGAGCCGCCACTTCATCGGTAACTTGTGGTTCAGCTTCAAGTTCACTCTGCGGAGCCGCTATTTCACCTGCAACTTGAAGTTCACGTTCACTCTGCAGAACCTCCATTTCACCTCTAACTTGAAGTTCAGTTCCAAGTTCACTCTGCAGAGCCTCCATTTCACCTCCAGCTTGAAGTCCAGTTCCAGGTTGACTCTGCAGATCATCCGTTTCACCTGTAACCTCAGAACAACCACTGTTCTCAGCCACTGGTTCAATCAGGCATGCATCCACACGCGCAACGCCCGCCTCCGTGGCCTCCTCGACGTAGCTGAGCTGGGGCTGCGTGTGCGCCGGTTCCTCAGCAGCCTGTGATGGATGAACATCCACCATGGGCAGTTGGTGGCTGGCATTTATTTCAGCAGCATCAGCATCAGCATCATTCAAGCCAGCAACAGCAGCAGCCTCATCGTCCTGGCCATTGTCCTCTGCTTCCATCTCTTCATATTCATAGGTGACACCATCATCATCTTCACCATGATCATCTGATTCCACCACCTCTTCATACTCATACTCTGCCTCTTCATCTTCATGTCTGGCACCATCATGCTCTGGTTCCACTGCAGCTTCATCTTCGCGGCCGGCACCGTCTTTCGCCTCCACCATCACCACCTCCGAGCGAGGAATCTTCGGATCCCCCGGCAGTTTATCGACATCATCGCCGTCCACATCGCGGTCGCGGCTGGCAACAGTTGCAGACTCTGCTGGCACCTTGCTCTGATCCAGATCGCCACTGCGTGGCTGATCAAAATCACCACCGCGTGGTCGCCAGTCTGGATCCCTCCGGCCGCCACTGTAAGAGCTCCTGGGCCTGGTTCTGCTCCGGCTCCGGCTCCGGCTTCTACTCCTGCTTCTGCTCCTCCGCTTCCGGTCCAGTCTGCGGTCAACAGAGGGCAAACGGCGGTCATCGATGGGGGGCGGCCGGCGGTCGTCGCTGGAGGCCCGGCGGTCGTTCTGGGAGTAGGAGCGTGACATGGCGGGTCTCCTCTTCTCGTCGTACGGGTGGCTCCGGCGAACGCCCCGGTCGGCGTCACCGCCAGCACCGCGTCCGCCATCGCCCTCGTTGTACCTGCGTCTTCCGTCAAAGCTCTGGGTCCTGCGGTCCCAGCCCGACTTGGCCCGGGCGAGCCTGGCGCCGTCGTCCTCGTCCCTCTTGTCGCGGCCCCAGTCGGCGCCGCCGCCGCCGTTGCGTCGCCATCTGGGGTCGTCATCAGGGCGCGGCGGCCCGTCGTCATCCCTCTTCCTGGCGTAGGCGGCGGGGGCGGAGATCTCGGGGCGGGGGCTGGGGATGGGGTCGTCCCTGGCGTGGAGAACGTGGTGGTGCTTGGGGCTGGGGTGTTCCCGGGCGTGGAGAAGGTGGTCGGGGAGGACGCCCTGCGCGACCAGGTAGTGGGCGGCCAGGCGGCCGGCCTCGAGGAGCACGTCGTTGCGCCAGCGCCGTTCGGCGGCGACGACGAGCGCGGCCGCCGGCGGCGGGAGGGGCTTCTCGTCCAACGCCAGCAGGCGGCGCGGGGGCGGCCGTTCGGGGCTGCTGCGCCGCGGCGGGGCCCGGCGCTGGTGGTGCTGCGGCCGCGGGGAGGGCGGCGGCAGGGGCGGGGACCGTCGGCGGTATCGTCCTCCGGATGACGGCGGCGGCGGCGGGGGCGGCGGCTCGCGTCCGCGAATGCGCGACCTCGGGTGCATCGGGCCCTAGGGAGGGGCGGACGGACGGGAAAGCCTCCTCCTTTCCTCCGACGGGGGGCGGCGGATTCGTGGCGAAATGCGTTCGGCGAGCGTTCGGTCAGTCCGTCGGCGCGTTTCCCGGTCAGCGCGGCGAGATCTGCATCTGCGGTGTCGTCTGCTTGCGTTCTTCGTCGGCGGGCCGTGGCGGGGCGGGTCTCCCGGCGCGGCGGCGCGGCGGCGCGGCCGGAGGCGGAGGCGGAGGCGGAGCGAGGAGATTTGAGAGCGAGGGTTTGCTTTGTGAGTGGGGGGAGGCGTCTGCCTATTTGAGCACACGCACAACCACACCCACACACCCGCTGGTTTTTACTGCGGCCCGTGTGTAGTTACCCTTTTTTTTACTGCAGGCCCCGTGCGTGGTAAACTGGTAATAATGGACCGATAATCACCGTAAAATTACATTATACATGGGTTAATTAGTTTAATCATCGGGGTGTTTGTATAGTTAACAATGGCGATGTGGGGGCGATGCCTCGTGTTAGGTTTGAGCCTCTCCCCTCCCTCATAGATCCGGGTTTTTGCCGTCTTCGAATATTTTTTATGTCATTTTTTTATGGTTAATCTTCCTACTTGAAAACCGATAAGAAACATAGTTTGATGAAGGGGAAAAGATGCTCGGAAAACCCAAAACCGTTACCGGAGCGCATCTTTAAGTGCCTAACTTTGGCCCCGAGGATCCGGCGCCCCTGGTTAGGGGTCTAGCGTCGAGGATCAGGCGCCCCCGGTTAGGGGGTCTAACGCCGAGGACCCGCCGCCCCCGGTTAGGGGTCTAGTTCGTCCATCCAGATATTTTGGATAAATTGGTAACGTATCGTCGTTTCCTTTTTTTTATTTAGAAGCTGGTCTTCACGCGACTGTGGCCGGTAGGAATTATGGTGTTTGTTAAATGCTTGGGTAACGCCTCTTATCTATGGGATTGCTATCGGAGGCACCCTCGTCGTGATGCGGAACTATGTTGGTACTTTCGTGTCGTTTTGATGGTGTTTATCGTGTTGGCATGACCTGTCCTTTGGTTCCGACACCGCTCTAAATAACCGGATATTGGTGGCGTCGGTAACGTCACCGGTAGGAACACGAAGGCAGATACCGACAATGTTGTTGATACAATGAGTACAAATCATGCCGTGTTATGAAGCTGGTATTTCTTTCCTTATCATTCCGCCCACGGCAATCGGTGGGGTCCTCCGAGGAAGAAATCGCTTGCACACATTTCATGTTTGCCTAGGACGCTCGTATGGTCTGTCTTAGGGGATCTTCTTTTGAATTCGAAGGAAACATATGCATGAAGACCGGTCTGTTTCTGATTTTTGGGACCAAGAGGCAACGTGTTATCGTCTCTAATTTAGAAGTGATCTCTGGGTTGTTCGTTGAATATCAAAACTAGCGTTTCATAGATTCTCCGATAATGCCTCTTATCCACTGGAGAGGTACAAAAGGCGCCCTCTCATGACACGTGAATCTCGTTGATACTTTTGGCGTTGTTTAATGTTGTGCGTTTATCATGCTGACCTAACCGATACAAACCCGGGTGCGGACACCAGCGGCGTCGCCGATATAGACGACACAAAATTCAGCCGAAACCGGTATTGATCACATTCACGTCTTTTTGTGAGGTCCTTCGGGGGGAAAGGGGATTGTATTCACGCCGGCACGCATATCTTTTTTGTTTGAACCTCTTTTGTTTTGTTATTACTGAGGTATTTGTATGGATGTCTTATCTAACTAGGGCAACTTCAACCCTGGCCCTCACTCGGATCCGTCCGGCCATGTTTTGTCATCCAACACGGTACCCCGTCGGTCCGTGGAGCGGTCCAGACGTCTGTTTCCCCGCAAATCGGATGCAAACCTGGGGCTTTTCGGGAGTCCGGACCGCCGCACGAAAGACTCTGACACTCCCGGACAACTCAAACCCCCTCCCGGTCCACTTTTCACTCCGCCACTACTCCCCCTTGCTTTGTATATGCACCTTCCTCGTCCAACGATGTCATTGTACCTCCCCGGCCACCGCCCAGGCATCATAGGACATCCGCAGCCCCCACAAACACGCCTGCCCTCCTTGGACTACGTTACCGTCCACCCAGGATCCCTCTGCAACCAGGTACCATCCGCCCTAGCTTACAACGTCCATGGCGGACACCACGTTCGGTAGGTGTTTGGTCAAATGCCATTGAACTTTTTCTGAACTTCTTATTGTTTTCAAGAGTAAGCATGATGGTGGG